GGTTCACGGCAGTAGATTTCAGTGATGCTGCAAGCCGTATAGCGCTGGATGTTGGTCTGAATGTCTGTCACCTAGAAAACTAATACGGAGCATTATTCTCTTGTGGGCTGCTAAAGTGGCACTTTTGAGTTTTAATAAACGTTAAGTGTATCTCAAATCTTGGATCATCTGAATTAGGAAACGGATTATCTAAAAATGAAAAGTGAAACGTACTGAATGACTTGTTTTAGTAAAGGAAATTCGAAATTTGGCCCGACAAAATTGTTCACAATTTCTGTCGAATCTGCTGTTCCTGTTTCACTTTATATTTTCGTAACAAAATTATTATAAATCTCCCACTGCAACCGCATTCAGTGACATCGTGTGTGTGCTAGGGAGGTAATCACATCGGAAAATGCATACCAAATGACGGATTGCCGAGTGCCGAGTGTGCGATCCAAATACGTTTCGCGTGTAACGCGAGGAGATTCGTATCATACCACTGTGTTTACACCCAAAATGGTCAGTCAGATGTGTCGTGTGTTGCCTTTATCGTGCGCAGGCGTACTGGACGAAACACTTTCAAATGTAACAAAGAAGAGAAATGTGGGTTCTCTGAAGCAATAGCTTTTGGGAACGATCTGTCGAAGGGATAAACAAGTCTATCGATTGAAAGCTGTGCCGCTAGAAAATCATAATACTACTATTTTATGAGCCCCTTTCCACATCAAACTAAATATTCTCATTGTTTCTTTATTTGAAATATTTATGTGATAGAGTATATCATATCCAACAGCTGATTCTGAAAAGAAAATTGTTACGTTGTTCTGTTCGAATAAAACTCAGTTAGGACTTATGTTGAGTCCAATTGTCACTTCTTCATCACGTATTTGAGATTCGATCTCGCAACATAAATCAATTACACCCACAGTTAAAAAATTATTTGAAAGACACCGACTAAAGTCAGTATTCTCACTCAAAAAATTTGGCTTTTGAGAGCGTGGAGAAGCCATCAGGTCACTGCGCTTTCCGGGGTAGGTGTCATTCTAGTGCCAGAAGGAATCAAAATTGTCATAAACTGTACGCACCAGTACCCAGAGAGTCATAGCAGCAAACACACACACACAGTTTCTTGTTAGTCTTCTTTCTACATCTACCGGAGGCTTTTCCGGTAACGGTAACAACGTTGTTCATGAATTCCCAAGTTCCCGGTCAGGAATTCAAGATGCTGTACTCGATTAACTCAGCATCATCTGTTCTACTTCGCTGGAAATTTTGCCATATATTTGTGTAATACGACGATTCTTTCTCTCTCGCTCTCTCTAGCCCTCTCTGTAGGATTATGCCATGCTTTGTCGTATGAAAAATATAAAACGGTGCTGGTCTGATTGTTGTTATCCACTGAATCTCATGTGCTGTTTGCGTTAGCTGGGAAATTCCATTTGCTTTTAGAATGACCACCATAACTGTGTGGTGTAATTATCTTCTCAGTCATAACTCTGTACGGTTTTTGATCGTTTGAGTGATTTTAAGATAAACCTACGGAGTTTGATTTGAAGTAGGAAATATCTGACAAAACATCGAAAAACAACAACAAATTTAACTACCATACACGTTGTCTTTAATCAAAGATGGATAACATGATCGTCCCAAATGCTGGGAAATACATGCCAGCATAGGACTCACTGTTTTTGTACATCAATTGTATGCACATATATAGATATATATATACATATATATATGTATATATATATATATATAATAAGACAGTGCAAAGTGAACGACCAATTTTCTGAGCTATGACATTGACATCCATGCTACGCATCGATAGATTAGTATACGTAGACCACCGGGGATGCGGGAATTCTCCGCGTCCAGGTATCTCAATAAACCAGCTGATGCTGTTGCGTCGGTTCAAAAGCACTTATGACGTCACCTCGGCTGGTGGTGCTGAAACATTTACAGACAAATTGTCAAGCTCGGCGAACAGGCGAAATAGAATCGTCGAAATTCACGGACTGGCATTTTGTACTAGAGTCTAAGGATTATATGATACAAATTATATAACCGAGTGGGTTTCGGTTGTGTTATATATGACACTGCAGACATGTAAACTCACGCAGACGGCTGCTCAACAATATTTACATATGAAGCGTATAAACAGTAAAAGACGCGCAACCTATACTTATCACTCCAATTCGCCAATTCTTACAAGG